GTCAAAAAACTTGGCCGAATAACTTTGAAAGTCAAGATGTTTCTGTAAAAAGAACAAGAAAATGTACCACGTAGGATGTTTAGCAGATCATATATGTCACATTCAAACTCAAATCAAGAGGCCTTGTGTTAATTTCATTATTCAATAATTTCAATAGAAATTGATCTGATTTTCGAAGAAAATGGATATTTATGCTCGGTGTGTTTTTTTATTCAGACAGTTTTCGCCGATCGAAAAAATAGTTTTCGACAAAATTTTCTTTACCCCATTAAAGATATCAACTTCCTGAGTTCAAATTGAAAATGATATCTTACCTCCGATTTTTATTGTAACTTTCTGGGCTTGCGAATTGCCAAACAGCCATTTTCTGGACTAAATTATGCGCTACTTGAAGAAATTATTCATGCAGACGAAAGCGTAAAAACAATTGCTTATGCTTCAAAAATTATCCGCACATAAAACCGTTCCAATTGATTTTGGGCTACCTGCATCTAAGTTTAGGCGTAAGTAATCGAATATAACGGAATATTATGATGATTTTTTGACATTTATAGTTGATTAAAATTACCAGCAATAGGAATTTAAAGGATTTTTGATTGCTTATTATCGTGGTATTTTCCTATAGATTATTATCTCATATAATCAATTATTTGTTATTGTAGTTTATACAAAAAAATCCTTAAATCAATTATTATGATTTATAACCAATTATAATCGATTTCATTCTCATATTTTACAAAAATTGTATTACAGCAAAACAACGTTCGATGTATCTTATGGGTTAATAAATTTTCGGCTATGACAAAACCTCTAGAAGCGAGATCTTTTGTCACACTTTGGTTCATCTGATGTTTTGTTGATGTTTTGTTGGTTAAAAAAGCTTTAAATATACATCATGAAACAACTCTAATGGGGAAGAAATGAGAAAAAAGGTAATAATTTGAATTGAGGTGAAAATTTGAAAAACAATTTCTCATTTTTCACTGGAACCAACATCTACAAAAATCATAAAATGTAAGCAACTTAGATTCAACTTCGAAGATAAAATGGGCAAGCAAAAGAGATTATAATGTGTTTTTGAGCAAAACTCATGCCATGAAAATTGGGATAAAAATAATGGATTATAATCTATTTAAATTATATTATAAATGATAATAACTCTTCTAATGATAATAATTATATTATAAATGATAATAACTATATTATAAATGATAATAACTAGGTTGTTAGGCTAGTTAATCGGTGTATTAGTTTTGTACGACTCAAAAGTTCCCACTTTGATTTTGTCCAAAATTGATGGATTTTCAATTTTTTCCTTTCTCGAAAAACTATTCGATGTGAATTAAGGGACAGTCGGAACATTTCAGGTCTTGTTGTTTAGCAACAGATAACCAGTTTTAGCCTACGCTACTGCCAATGCAAAAAGCATATATACTTTCGCAGAGAACCAGATAGCAGGAGCTGTTTTCGTCTTAAAAAGCAATTCATTCGCTTCACCATCAAAAATCGAGCAGAAAAAAGGAAGCCACTGAATTGACTTCACGGACAAAAAATCATTTTCTATGATTTCTGTTAACTTTTCATTTGCCATCGGATTTTATAGAGAAACGCCCCATAAAATTTTTTGAAGTTGAAGTTACTGACGCGATAGCACAATTTCGTACTCGATTGAGAAGCTAGCTTGGCATTATAATGAATTTCCTCTTAAAATATTTTCAGACCGAGCGAAAGTCATCTGGCCTGATTATTGGCGTAGTTAATTGGCGTGAAATATTTGCCAAAAATTGGTGAACAGCTTCTGGCATGAAGAATTGTCTATTGGTAAGCATCTCAGTCGTGATCTGTATATAGAAATCCTTTACAGAAATTACCAAATTGTTGTGAGAATTATTTTTGTTCCAGATGTTTCGCAAGTATTATGGCAAAGTGTGCTCGGTCCATTGGTTTTGATAAATGGAAAACCTCTCGAAAATGCTTTGTTAGCCTGTGATCTTTTCCGAAATGTTAAGGGGGTTTTAAGATTGTCATATCGGCCATCTTGGGACAGCTAACGCGCGATATAATTCGCGCTATTAACACATTAGCGGAGATTTAATCAGTCTTGTAAATCATTCTTCTTGGTTGAAGCAGGCTTTTTGCAATAATTGAATTGTTGTTAAAAGCAGAGTCTCTTATTTTGTACTTTATTTGGCGTGTGTGGGGATAGTTTTTACAAAAATCTCAAAAAAAAATCATTTTTGGCTGCTCCATAGGCCTTAAAAGACTGTCGGAACACTCAGGCCTTCGCTTTGATACGAGCAGTCTTGTTCCTTATTTTAGTGTTTTACCGGTTATTAGAATTATGAAAACATCCTCTTAGAAAAACTGCTCAGGTACACGGCAAAACTTTTTAAAAAATTCTCAAAAAGTCTGCTCGTATCAAGGCGAAGCCGCCCTGAATGTTCCGACTGCCTTATAAGGTCTATTCAGCTGTAGTAACATGAAAAAAAACAAATTTCTTAAAACAAAACTATTTTTTTTTCGTATTGAGTTTTTTTAAATGAAAATCATCCCCCCATCCGCGCCATATAAATTACGAAGTGATGCTTTTTGCGTTAGTAGCGCGAAATTTATTGTGCGTTAATTGTCCAAAATTGGTTAAAATGTTAATCTTTACACCACCATAACTTAACGAAAAATGGTTACAGAATGTTTTTTCAAATTTAAGCTCAGAAAACTGTCAAAAATTGCTAATAAAAAGTCGAAGTATGGCTGAAGATAAAACCACCCGAGCACAAATATTCCGTTACTTTTGTAAGGAAAGTCCAAACAATAATTGTAATCAGCAACAAGAGCGAAGCGTGTGCTTTTTCTGATATTGATAAATGATATGATATAATGCCTGCTGGGTTAGCGTCGTAGAGCAAACTAGATTTCTTTCAGTATAGAGCTCAGTTCCACTTTCCCCGTTTTTCAAACTTTACAATTTCACAGCTGTTTCTCGTGTAATAACGGCTACAGGCATAAATTTAACATGTAAATCTTGAAATAAAATTTATTCACAACTGTTACTTTGTTCAAGATGCCAAGTTTTATTGCAATATGGCAACTTCAAATTAGTTTTCAAAAAATTATTCAGTTTTATTATAACAAGGGGATAGATATGTTAAAACTTGGATTTACCCTTCCGAATCTAGTAATCATATGTCTACACAAATCTACAACTTACAAGTTTTGGGGATAAAAAAGAGCCCAGCAGAGTTTTTAGCAATGTTGACAAATGCAGACCAGTAACATCATAAGCACTTAAGCAACTATGGTTCATCTGTGTCCATAGTTTCATTTCAGCATAACTTTATATATTGTTCAGTGATCAGAAAAAACATATCATCAAAAGTTTATCAAGAAAAAAGAGATAAATTTAGAAATTTTGCTGTTCAATTTGTTTATACCCTTTGATAGAACTATGCACTTTTTGAGTTTACTGAGAAAAATTCAACACTCTATCCGTGGGCATAGGGAAAAACATCCCGAGGTAAATGGGTAGTTAGAAAGGGAAATGACAAATGTTCGGGTTTTTCTGATTATTGACTCACCAATGCTCTATAACTTCGACTTTTAGTTGTAACTTGCAATAAAAAGTGGCAGCGTGAGCAATTTAACAAAACTTTAGATTTTTTCCATGCAAGTTACCGTATGACGCAATTTCCAACAACCTGATATTAAAATTTTACGCCAGTGCCCTGAAACTGAAAGAGAGCCACGAAAAGCCCCAATTATCATTGTGTCAGAACGTTTTGAATCAGTACAGTAACAGCACTGCGAGATTTAGCACTTAAATTTTCATGAATTTTTACAGACACGTGATTTTAGCGGAAACTTTCATAATAATGTTCATCTATGTTTGTAACAAAAATTAGGTTTGTAAAAAAATTAAACTGAATTTCAAAATGAGTTGTAGGCTTTTCGAAACAGTTCGTCAAAACTTGTATTGTTTTGGCTCGTAGCTATTGGCTTGGTGGGCTCATTTAATGCTCGACGAAAAAAAGTTTTGAAAATCAACGCTTACCAGAAATCCATTTTTTTGGAGTTACCTAAACAATTTTCAGGCAAAATTTCAATACTTTCAAAGAATTAACTGACGCACTGAGCTCAGAGTTTTTTTAAAATCAAAAGTTATCATGATCAGTGAAACTTTGGAAATTTTAAAGCCGTCAAATTGGCGCAATTTTTTGAGTTGTCGAAGTGAAGCGTATGCGAAAAAATATCTCGGCTCAGAAACAAAAGCAAATTGAATGACGAGAGAAACAAAAAGATAAAAAAATATTCGAAGCAATCTTTATTTTGTATATGAAGTGTTGTGAGGGGGTCTTTGAAAAAGTATAGATTTTTTTTCTGTCATTTTAAAGGGCAGCCAGAGCGTTCAATGATTCATACTAACACCAGATTTGTACTCACAGAAAATTTTTTACTTCAAAAAACCGGATTTTGTTAAGGATCAAACTGTAAGCTAAATTTTGCTGAATATTCATGAACATTCAGGCGTGTTCCGTCGATACCGGAAATTTGCCCAAATAAAGGACAGAACAAAATGAGTCGTACAGTTTTAGTCTTAACAAAATCCGATAATTGATAGTAAGAGAACTTTTTAAGTAATGTAATTCAAGTGAATTTTTTTTTCTTATATACTTCATAGGGTTTTCAAAAAAACTAAGGCTTTGCGCAAACCCTGGGGCGTTTAAATGGGGCTCATATGATGGAAGGAAACAATTTGCTAAATTTCAAATCAAGTTTAGATTAAAAAATATCATAATCTGTTGTATTTGATTATAATATTTGATTAAACATGGATTTTATTTGAAAAAATGTAAGTGTTGTGATTCGCATTTCATCTTATTTTTTTTATTTGATTATAATTGAATGTTTTGGACTTTTATAGAGACTGAACAAGAAATTCAGATACAAAAAATTCTTATTCATTAAGCTCTAGTGCGGGTTTCATCAGAAAGTTACCTGGCAAAATGTAAATTCCACACTCTTAAATTTTGACAATGCTTTTGCTTCATCATTTAACATGTAACTTGACGAGAATCAGAGCTTTAGAATCAAGATTATCTTAAGATCTGCAACGGTATGACGGTTTTTTTCCTCAATACTTTTTGCAGCAATTTTTCTAGGTGTAATTTGGGAGAACTCAAAATGATTCAAATTAGTTTTATTTCAACTCTCAAAAATTGACGTGTTGTTAGTGTTTGAATCATTTTGAGCTCTCAACTCTTCACACCAATTTTATGTGAACAGTTTTGCTTGGCCGTTGAAAGAGTTTGTTTTCAGACGATCTTCTGACTTGTGACGATTTGTGCTTGTCGACATAATAGCACGGGCTAAAACATAATAAATATTTTAGTGATTCTGATTGGTGAAATTTGGTCTTTTTATTCTTAAAGAAACTGGAGCAAAGAAGTTGTATCAATTTAAAAAAGCAATTGAAATAAAGCAAAATGAAGTTTTCTTCAGACCGTAAAATGGTAGGGCAAGCAATTTTGCAGAGTAAGGGATTGCATAAACTAAAAAAAAAATAAATCACATTTATTTAGCCGAGCAAGTGTAAGCCACAATTTTTCAATTCTGGATCTCAATTTTCTCGCAGGCCGACATAATGACTTGGCATGAATGACCGAAACCAGAATTGGCTAAAACAATTCTATTCCAAAAATGTCAACTCAGCAAAACGTAGTTTGCAATTTTGCGTCTAACAAACTCGGGTAAAAACGTTGTTTTTGAAGCTTGACACAAACCAGTTTTTGTTAGGCCAAAATAGAAAATAAGAAAATTTCAACTTTGTCCATTTCTTCGATCGGTTGCCTCTTTTTTCACATAAGAAAATTTTATGAAAAGAAGTTTTGTTTTCATGAATTAAAACTCAAAAAGATCTCACCCAAGAAAAATGATATAGTGAAAACAAAACACAGATAAAATGATTTTGCTAGTTTGCCATGTAAATGAATGGTGGTATCATTACCACATAGAAGTACGTTTTTTTTAGGTATAAGTTGAACATAGTATCATAATTTTTAAACTGATTTTGGTTTCATAATAACAATCAAAAACGAAAAGCAAAAGAAATTCGCTTGCAAAAAGATTGGTAAAATGAATGTTAGAGAACAGAAGTAATTGTGCGATATTTGGAAAATTGTGATAAAACAGTAATTGTGATAAAACAGTTATTGAGAAACTTTCAACTCAATTTCCCAAACACTTTTTGTATTAAAACTGTAGGATAAACAGTTTTTTGTTCCAAACAGAGAATCTAAAACACTTTCACAGAAAAGAAAAAATTCTAAACTTTTTGTTTTAAAAAACAACTCAACCCAAACAGCGCTTCGCTATTGTGACACTTACTGAATTAGAGTAAATGATTAAAATGGCAAAATTGATATGAAAAAATTTTCGAGCTTCTTTTTATCTAAAATAATTTTTATTGTAGCATGTTCTTAACGTTTCTGATGAGATTTTTTCTGGGATCGTTTTCTTTATTTTTCTGCATAACCCTACTGTGTATCAAGCGTGCGCCAGTGATAATGATATTATAAAAAGATCCATTAACCTTGCAGAATAAAGCTATATGCGTGACATGGTAGGTCTAGCAACTTCGATCTTAGTTGATAATCCCGGGTATGCATATAGTACTAAGATTTGTATAGATGCACCTTGTGTAATTTGCACATTGTTGAGCCTCCTTGAACCTCCTCGGTTGCAAAAAACTGCTCATCATAATATTTCATACTATTACATAGACCAAAAAAATCATGACAACCTATGAAGATTTTAAACTATGCTACCATGAAATTTTATTATAAGCAACTTTTGCCAAAATTTGGAATTAAATAACCATCTTTTTGCCATATTTCTTACAACAAAGATTTTATGAAATTAAAATTCGCAATTTTTTCTTTTATGACATTTTATGACATGCATTTTTCCAGACTGTTAAATTGTATGACAAGCTGTTTGACCTTTCTTTTGTCTTAAAACTTTAACTTTGTCTTACATCCGAATCACAATAACTAATGATATTCTGCCATAAAATAACCTCCCGGGATGACCAAAGTACTAGTCATACCATTTCCATATATAGAAAAATGCTAGTCATACACTTTCCATACAATTCCATACGTACAGAAAGTTGCATGAAAGGTCTATGATTAATATTTTTTCAGATATGGAAATTGTATGACTAGCATTTTTCCATCAACCAAAAGTTTTGATTTTTTACATTTTAATTTCTCAACATTTTTTGGTTGTGTTCGTAACCAAACACAAACGACATGAACCGTGATTACTCAAACGTAGTAACCAAAGGTTTGACTGTCTCGCATAAAAAATGTATTGGGACCAGCCTAATACTTGTTACTTCTGTCTCACACAAATAAACGCTAGTAATGAACTTCTAAATTTTAGCAATAATTTTTTAAAGATGATTATTTCTAAATTTTGAATTTTTTTTAAATACCAGACATTGATCAAGGCATACAAAAACATGTCATACAAAAGAAAGAGGAGTTTTAAGCGTTTTTGAAAAAAGTTATGAAGAGAAACTGAAAAAAAAACTCAATATTAGTATATCCAGGACTACGTTATACACACAAAAATTAAATTTTGCACGCAAAATTCTTTTTTTCAAAAAATGTTTGTTTGAATACGAAAATCAGTTTGCGATTGAAAAAAAAACACAAAAACATTTTTGGGGGCAATTTCAAAAACACTTCGTCGCCATCAAAAAAATGCTAGTCATACAATTTCCAAATATGGAAATTGTATGACTAGTGTTATTTTTCAGAAAACAAAAACAAAAAAAAGTCAAAGTTTTCAGTTGTAGCAGCCCAAAAAACGCTTAAATGTTTTGCCAGCAGTTGAATTGATTGTTCAAAGCTTTTTTTCATATTTTTTTTAAAATGCTAATCATACAATTTCCATATATGGAAATTGTATGACTAGCATTTTTTTTCATACCATTTTTTTCCTTTTTTTATGAAGAGATACCAATTTCGATACCAAAACAGCTATAAAATACCTTTGAAATTCGATTAAATTGATTTTGCAAAAAAGTATGAAATTTGTATGACTAGCATTTTCGGTCTATGGCGGTCACCCCGGGCTGCATGTGATAATACTTGCATGTAAGCTAATGTCAAGAATTTCACACAGAGCTTAACAAACGTACTTAAGAGAACTATCAAAAACGTAAATTGTATACGGCTAGAAATTTTTCATTTTCAAGTTTCGGTGATTAAGAAAAGAGGCCTTTTTTTCAAATAAATATATATGTTTATCTTTGTAAATCCAAATATAAAAAAATTAATGCGTTTATTAAAAATTATTTGATTGTGATTTTTGGAATTTTATTCGGATGGAAAACTCAACCTGGAATACGTTATAGACACAAAGTAAAACATTTTTTTTTGGTAAAATGTATTTTCAAGGACAGAGGTAAATTTGCAACCAAAAAAAGGCAAAACAGGGATTAAAAAGGGATTTGTATTTTTTCTATGGAAATTAGCGTATCATACAATTTATGAAATGATGCATAAAGATTTTTTTCTTCGAGAGTTTTTTGCTCCAAAGTTATTCTCATATAACCAAAACTGCCACCAATTTGTTTTGTTCGAGTTGAAAAATATATGATGAGCATGTTTTGAGCATGATATGCAAATCGATTTCATTAAAAAACAGGAGTCAATCGTGATTTGTTGTCCTAAGGAATCTCAATCTAGATTAAAAACGTAAATTGGCAATCAGATTTTTCCTTCGAAAGAGATAACGCCGGGTTTTTAATTGTTAGCTTAATTTTCACCACATTATGAAGAGCTTTTTCAAGTCGAAACTGCTCAGAGTTAATTTTATCAACAGCAGTTTTTTTTCAAACTCGCAGGTTTTTGATTTTTTTTTCAACTGAGGTAGTAAGTTTATAGATGAAACACTTTTAATTGGAATCCGTGAAAGTCGAATGATAATTAATGAGCGGCAAATTTTGAACTCTTGTTTCATTAAAATCTGCAGATTTTTCTTATTATGAGCTTTAGAAAGTATAAAAAAATCGTAATGGGCAAATTCAACCCAGACCAAGCATCTTTATTAGCACAATTAGTGAAATATAAAGTAGTGAATGCCTGTTCAAACCCTACTTTTGAATTCAATTGTTTTCACTCTTGTGAATCAATGTCTGCTTCTATTTATAGAGTTCCGATGGCAATATTTGACGGGCGTTTATTAAGACCAAAAGACATCGCTGAACTAAGCTTAAAATTGTGACGATGTTTTAGTTGAGTATTTATTTTTTGTAAAGTTGAAAATGGATTGAAAATCGGTGTTTGGGCCTATTTGACATAGAATTTTTAATGCGTGACATATTACGTTCTGATAAGCGGTGAACAAATCTGTCTCAGTAACCATTCCAAATTGATTTTAAACTAATAAAGTGATCCAAATAATAGTACTTTACTTTTTTCGATTTAGTCTTTGTTGTTCGAATTAGCCGTTAGTTTGTTTTTTTTTGTAGTACTTTTGCACATTGATTTTAAAAAAAAAATCATATTAACAACGTTTTTTTCTTTAAAAAAAATGCTCAAAATTTCAGCTAGGCCATAATTGACATTCTTGCCTTTTATGCTTCTCCTCTGATACATGTAGTCTGGTTTTTTAAATGATGACATCTGGTGGTTTCAATTTATCTGCGGAAATCTGAATTCAATTTTTAACGTGCATGCATCAATAATTCTACATTCGCGGGCGTATTAAAGATTATTTGGAGACATCTTCAAAAAAGTGTCCCTATAAGGTTTCCCCTGCTCTTAATCAATTCTTTTTATGTGCATAAAATTATTCTAATAGATTTTGTATCATAACCCCATTTTGTTCAATTATATATTTCCAACTGAAATAGGTATAAGACAAAGTTATTTTTAAAAGTGCAAGAAGTATTTTTTGCATTAGCTTGAAAAACAGCAAGACGATTCATTAAAAGACACACATTTGCAGACTTTTTTCGAGGCCCTCAAATTGTTGTTTTAATTTTTTTCTTGTTCAAAAATTGCTAAGTAGGGTAATTATGCAATTCGCCCTAGTAAATCGGAGCAAGATGGACAATTCTTTCCTAATGGCTTTAATTCAAGCTTTTTTTAAATAAGGCACCAAGCAAAAAATGATCACTTTTTACTTTTTGATAAGCAAGTGGGGAATATAAGGAAAAATTGAGCTCATGAATGGTTTCTAACATTACTTTTTGGTTTGCGTTTCGAAGGTTTTTGCGGAGTTTTTATGTTTTTATGATTTTTTTTTTCACCGAAAGATTATTTGTGTAAACTATACGGGTTTAAAACTGCTAATTTGGCCGATATGAAAAACTCATGCGCGCTGCGCCCTTTACCGATTTTTTTATTTAGAAAAAACTGCCGATATCTTAAAGGGCGATCGGAACAATCGTGGGAGCAGTCTTGTGGGAGCATAGAGCATATTTATTTCGTGGGAGCATACTTATTGGTATCAGATCTATCAATTTATTGTAGATACACTCAAGGCTAATGGTTTGTAACAACATTTCTAAAGAAACTTAGCGCATTTTTTGAAGCACGGCTGGAGATATCATTCATACAAATGTTTGTATAATTAAGCTGAAAGTTCTTACGCATCACTTTATTTGGTCGTGCAGAACCCATACGTTATTTCATTTATGCTGAAAAACTTAATCACTCATAAGAATCACTTATGTCGGTTAACCTTTTTTTATGAAACGAACTTGTTTTGACGTCTATCGAAGATATTTTCATGATTAAAATGTAAAATGATGTGATGGACATTCATGGAAAATGGGTCATTGCAACGGTTTCATACAACGGCAATCTTCATTAACTTCAATGTAACCGCTTTTTGCGACACATGGTTTCTCAAATTGGGTAACCCTGTTGTGTAAGGGTTTGTCTTCCAGTCTAATCTGGCCTAACTCAACTACGGAATAACTTACTGCTCTTTGAGAAATTGTTGGTGAAACTTCTGGCTTCCTCCACGACTTCGTCATCATCCCCCTCGTCCCCGTACAAGACAGTCATCAGGTCCTTCAAAGAGTTTTCTTCGTCATAATCCTCTGCCTTTTTGGCAAAGAAACAAAACAAAACAGTCCGTGCTATACTTCTAGAATACTTTTTGGACCACGCTAACATCCTACCCCAAGAGCAGTTGGGGGGGGGGGGGGGAGGGGGGTGAGGATGTTTACTTGTTTTAAATGGGAGTTTTCAGCCAGCCAGAATCGAGTGTTTTACTTACAGCAGATTTAATCTGATTTAAATGCTGGTGTGGAAGATATCAACTTATCTATTGGAAGGGGGGAGGGGGGCTTTGGAGGTTATAAGGCTCTTCTCAAAAAAAATTATAAGGGATCCAAAGGTACCTTAAAACTTTAAAGGGTCAATGAACAAAAGAGGGGTGTCATGAAATGGACCCTTTGGATGGTCAGAGTAGGGGCGGATTTAGGGGGGGGGGGGATCGTTTATTATTAGATTTTTTTGTCAAAACTTTCCAAAAAGTGCCTAAAAGCGCTTTTCTGGCCTGTTTTTTCGAAAAGTTTTGCCTGCGCCGCAGAAATTTTGGCCAAAACATGGTCTTACGGCCAAAAAAAATGTCGAAAAAACTTTCGATTTTTTTTTTGAAATCAAAATGAAGAGACTCTTGGAAACAAAACACTGTATTCAAGAAATTCAGGATTGTTTTATAAAAAAATGAAAAAATACAAGAAAAACATCTTGATCTAAAAATTTCAGCAAAATTTTACAGAATCATATTTATTGAAATATTTTCCCGTTTTTTGTTATAACATTTGTTGTTAATATTTTGAACTTTTATATATTTTTTTATAGCAGTGACTGTGTAATGCATCGGCGTGCGTAGCTGAAGCATAACTCCGTCTGGTATGACTTCTCTGCTCAAGTGAAGGGGGGCATGTTCGGTTTGTGATATTCTGCTCCGAGGCTGATGAGCTGACAAGAGAATGTTCCTTGAATTGTCCACACTTCTCTTAGTTGACACGCGCATTCCTGAAACATAGACAAACAGTTGGAAAAATGTTTTAAAAGTTGGCTTAGGTAAACAAAACACCCCCACCCCCCAACTCGAGGCTACCGTTTTTTGAGCTTCCGGATATCAAATATCAAGATCAGTTATTTGAAACTAACTGAACGCAGATTTTCTTTAACAAGAGTTCATTTAGTAAGCTGCAGCGCACGAGTAGTTTTGAGTAGCTTGCCGCCATGGTTTTGACCCCCTGCCGACCCAAAGAGTCCCCCTTTGTACTAATTTGAGATATCCATGTTTGGCTATAAAATTTTAAACAATATCTAAAGGCGCTTTTGGAGCCAATGATTACTTATTTTGAGGGGGAAACAGAAAGCTTGTTTAAAATATTACCTGAATTAATATGATGCAATTTGTGTTGCGAAATTCGGATCCAAAAAATACCATAAAAACGACAATTTTTGGCTTTGTTTAGTCAATCAGAAAATACTCCAAAGCCAATTGTTTATTTAATGACAAAATTATATCACTGCAGGGCTTTCATGTACCCCACCAAAACTTAACAAAGGTATATTTTGTCAGTTTTGTATCAACAACTTTATTTTCGTTTGATAGGCAAAAACGTCAATTTAACAATATGAAGATGGAGATTATACCCTCCTTAATTTTTGGTGGCCTACATAGGAGGCTAACAGTGATATAGTTTTGTCAGTAAACAATCAATTAGCTTTGGAGTGTTTTCTGATTGACTGATCAAAGCCAAAAACGATCCTTTTTGCGGTAATTTTTTGGGCCCGTATTTTGCAAAACATCATTTCTTTCGGGTAAATTTTTAAGCAAGGTTAGTCATCATTTTTTGTTGTCTAAAATCAACCCAATTTGAGAAAGATGCGTTTAAATTTTTCAAATTTTTATTCATTTTGTCCGGATAATTTATATCAGCTCTGTATAACGGAAACCTTACTGCACCAATTTTAATGGTTTGAATAATGTTACTAGGCAAATATCACTGTCCAAACCGAACAACACATCCGTATATCAAATTATCTCAGTTTGTTGCTGCTGACGAAATTCGTGGCAGAAAACAAGAAAATCAATTGCTGTAGACCACAAATCTTTGGACTTAGCAATTTTGCTGAAGGAAATTTCAGAGAAAATTGAACTCAAAGTTTAATTTTTTCTGTTTTTCGGAGATTAAATTTCGTAAAAAGACCAATAAAGTATCAAATATAGCAGTCCGTATGTGAATACAAGTTGTAGTTGACCTCCATACACAAAAATGTTTATCACACAGTTCATTAAAAAAAAGCAAATTATACAATTTCGTACACAAAAAGTATGGAAAAAATGTTTATCATACAATATCTATATATGAAAACTGTATGATAAGTAATTTTTTTTACATGAAACATTTCTGCTCCGTTTTTAGTCGCAAAATCACGTTCATTTTCAAATTAGAGTTTTTCGAGAAAAAAATTTGGCAGGCAAAAATTCATTATTTTGTCTTCGGGGTAATTTTTCATACCAAAGAAACAAAATTGCATTAAACATGTTATACGAATCTAAATTTGAAATTTTATTGTTCTTAAATATAAGATGTTTTTAAATAAGCCAAAAAAATCAGGCAACAATTTTCGACAAGTAAAACTTTTGGCTTCAAATTTTATAGCCTAATTTCAAAGTTTGCTGTACGTCTGGAGTTGTAGGAAATTGTATAATAAGCATTTTTGCCCATTTTTGAAAATTGTATGAGAAGGATTTTTGGTAAATTCGGGATGCTTTTTGGTAGTCATGGCGAGTTCATCTGAATTGAGTAGCACCTGAATGATCAATGAAAACACAGCCGAAATACAAGTTTCGTTTTGATTTTCATTTATCAGAGTTAAAATTGAGAAGAATGCTGCATCTTCGGTAGTGTTTTTTTTATAAGTGCAACATTTTTCCCATTTTTTGTTTTGTTTAAAAACTGCTATAAAATAACAAGACTGCTCGTATCAGAGCGAAGCCCTGAATATTCCGACTGCCTCTTAATGTCAATGAAGCAGTAATAACATGAAAAAATTAATTGTAAAAAAAATAAAATGAAATGAAAAATTTTTTGTTAATTTTCCCTCCACACGCCGTATAAAGTAATTAGTGACAAAATTCGGTTCCAGTAACACATCAATTATGGCAAATAAGCTTCCTTCAACTAATTTGGAACGATTTCTACGACGGATTAAGTCTCCGCTTACGCGTTAATAGCGCGAGATATATCGCGCGTTAAATGTTTCATATTGGCCAAAATGGCAATCTTTAATCCCGCATAACTTTACGGAAAATGATCACAAGTAAAAATTTCTTTTCAAATTTAAGCTCAGGACAACCGTACCTTTCGAGAGATGTAAAAAAAAATCCGTCAAAAATGGCTAGTTAAAAAGTCAAACTTTGTCTGATGAAAAAAACCCACCCCGAGCACAAATATTCCGTTGCTTTTGTATCGAAAGTCGGAACAATAAGCAATGTTTTGCATCAAGCAGGCTTGGTAAACTTCCAAGTGACTTCAACAACATAACTAACAAGAAACGAGTAGGAATACCTATTTGTGACTCTGCTTAAAATTTTTATACGCCGCGCACTGTTTTAATTATTCGAGCGCACTGTAATAATGCAGAGGAGCAAGATTTTTTTTGAATCGTGTAATGACAACTATTCGCCTTCCCAATTGTCCAGAGGTACTCATCACTGATTTTGTGTTTATTTTAAGGGTTACACTGCTTAAAAAACTGTTGTTGGTTCTTGGCTCAGCAATATGTTAGCGATGAATCATCAAAGATTTTTTGATAAACTTTTAAGCGATGAATCGTCGATAATTCATCGATGATCTATTGACGAATCGTTGATAATTTGTTGAACACTAATGACTTAGCAATAATTTCATCAATTTGTTCCTAATAAAGCGATGTTTCATCAACCGCTCAGCGATGTTTCATCAATCAATCGGGAATGATTTGTTGTTATTTTTTTTGTTAATTGAAATGCATGAAGAAAAACGAAACTAAAATTTAGGCTTGTTGTTGTTAATTTTCGAACAAAATTCTAATTACTATGCACATTTTAAAAAGTGCAACAAAAATTATTTACAATGTTTGGTATTGATATTTTTCAATTTTCTTAATATTGCGGGAGCTCTAGCGTTTTAAAGTTTTAAAGTAATTCACCTATAATTCATTGTTTTTTGTTAGCAACTCTTCTTTAGCGCAGAGAGCTCACAGGTCGAGATTTCTTTTTGAAATAAAAGTGCTCAATATTTAAAACAACTGTGATAACAAAAATATAAAATAGCAAGTCATCATTGATTTGAATTTTTTCATATATGTGTCATCAATTAATTATCAATGATCAAAAGTCATGTCTGAAATGGCAATTTTTAATCAAAGAATTTTTATCATGTCTTTAATATTTTCTTTATTATATTTTTTTAACCTATACTTGCTGCTGCCTTGAATAGCAAATCGGTCAAACTTTTGTTGGAAGAACTAATTTACTAAAGCAATTACCATAAATTAAGAGAGATTTGACTACAATTGGTACTTAAATCAGCAAATGACATCTCATGGTAGCTAAAGCAAAATATGTCAGCTTATTGTACTTGAATTCCATCTTCCTAATTTTTTTTCTTTTGAGAGGGTTTTGTCTATTTTTATGATTAGATATAGGTATAAAAACTTCTTTTTTGATGAATTCATTACCAGATCTAAGTGTGTGTTGGAAGGAAAATGAGTTGAATAAAAAAAGCGTTTCTTAAATTTATCTCTAAGGATTTACACTTCAAATTATTAATTTTTCAAATTTCGCGAAAAATTTTTAAATAAATCTATTTCTTTCAAATTTAGCAGTAAAATTATTAAAAATAGCATAGCAAAGTCAGTACTTACCCCATCTAAGGTTCCGAGCATCAACGATAGCTTCAGTTAATAGTAAAATAAGCACAATTAACTTCAAAGACGAAACTGAAATCACCGACTTGCGATAACTTCGATGCAATAAGCATCTTCGAATGTTTTTTGATTGCTCTACTTCAAGTATAATGTTTTTGTTATTGTTGTTGATTTTTTCAACGGACCAGTTTGTTTTCATTTTGGGCAAAAGTAAGTCTTCTTCGTTGTTGATATTTTCAAATTTGTTTTGACTTCAGATGTCTTAAGCTGGAGCCTTCAAGAGTTTTAAAAAGAATTAAAGAGATTTGAAAATGAGACTAGTAACTCTAATTCGGACTCAGCGATAATAGATGGAAGTTGTTATAAGTTGTTATAAGTTGTTCCTAAAGTTGTTCATAAGTTTCCTTACCAGGGATTTATTTAATTGTCAAGATGTCTTAAAAGATACTCTTCCTTTAATTAAAACTCAGCCCCGGATTTTCTTGATTTTGCCTCTTTTTTCCTACTGTTATTTTAAACATTTTGACACTCCAAGTTCTTATTTGGGAATAGTGAAAAAATGGTAAACGCAAATGGTAAAATGCAAATCAGACAAATAAGTTGACGTTAATCGAAGTTATGTTCCTTTATCGGGTTTTAAGAGTGGAGACAGATGGGAGGGGGATACATTTATACCAGGGGCAAAAAGTCCAAAAATAGCCCAAGTCTTTGTGTCCTGGAAAAACAAAAACAAATTGAAAATCAGTCAAATATATCATAAATTTCAACAAATTTTTTAAATTAAAGACTTAAAACCACCGGTTGTTTTTAAAGAAAAGAAAATTGCTGAAAAAAGACAGAGTATTTGCACAGTATTGAAAAAAGGGCAAAAATTGAGAAAAAAGTGATAATAAACTGATAAAATCAGAAACGGTTCTCCAAATCAACCCCAGGGGACTAGAACCTAAAATGACAAGTTTTTCCTTTTAAGGCCAGCTACTCATTTAGAAATGAAAAAAGTTTATGTCTTTTTTTGCGTTAATTGAAAACCTGACCCGATATTTTATGAGAGTTCGAGAATGAGGGAAATTTCATTGAACTGATATGGAATGAAGTCGACACTTGACTGACAAAGTTCTCTAATCAATATTTGGAGACATACTTTGAGTACTGCGTTACAATGTATGTGTTCAAATTGTTAAAAGCAAATAAAGAAAGTCTCTTCAACTCTACTCAAATTTGTTTCGAAAATGTTTTTATCAAGAGGTAATTATTAAAAACTGAAATAATGAAAACAATTGTTATACTCGTTAGCACTTGCTAAACACTTAGATGCAGTCATTAAAAAGCAACTCAAATAAGAAAGAACAATAAACGCCCATCAAGCTCTTAAATGATAAAGCTAAATATATATTTTTAACTTTTCGTTTGGTATTTAATCAAGTGACTGAAAGTTACTTTTATATCATCTCAATAAGTAAAATATTTGTCGTGATTTATAATTGCAAAGCTATGCATTTCGTCGAATCAAAATACAAAAATCTTGCGAATGCTCAGGTTTTCTTAAAATAACTTAAAAAAACAAAGAGTAGAAGTAAAATTAATTTATAATCATCTTTTTGTTGAAAGTGTCCAATGTATCATCCAGAAACTGATTTGATTGACAATCGGCTCAAAGTCTCTTATTGATACGATTTGCAACCGGAGCAGAGGTGAAAAAAAAAGAGTTCAGCTTTTAAACAAAAGAGCGACTGGTGATACCTCGGGCAAGTTTTTCAACACTCCGACTAAATTTTATGGACCCTCCTGAACTAACTTCTCCTTTTTTAGGGAATTGATGCAGTCTGAAAGAAAAATGGAAAAATTTCGAAGTGATTTATTTTGCGGAAAAAATCCAGTATTTGGACCAACTAACTTGTCTGAAATCTTTATGCCTGAAATCAAACTATTTCACCGATTTGAAGGCAATAGACGTACAAATATTTTTTTCATAATAAGTTTTTTTTAACAAATAGTATCTCGAAAAAAAAATTCCGCATTAAAAAAGTACACGTTTACAAATAAAAGCGAAAAAGTATCAAAACTGAATTTCCCACGAAATCTTACATTGTTTTTATCAACAATTTCCGAAAATTTTCTCTATATGCTTGATAAATTTGACATTTGAAGTTTTGCGCAATTACTACCGTTAACGAAAAAAATTAAAATTTAGTTAGATGAGTTGAAAACAATTTCAAGGTCTCATAGAGCCAAATTAAAATTCGAAGACTTCAAGTAAAAAATCAAGTGGAGTGATTGATGTGACAAAAATTAATCAATCGGAAGGGAAGAACTAAATCAGCCTGAAAAATGAGGTCTTTGTGACCAAAAATACTTTGATGAGATCCAATTAAAACTGAGCAAAAATAGTTTGCGCTTTTTAAGATTTTGTGCAGTTTTATTTTTAGAATTTCAGTTAGGGTAAATGCAATGAACGTGGTAACGTTTATATGTAAATAATTGACACAATCAGAGATTTAAACATCATTAAAACAACTTTTCTAATGGAAAAAATAAATCTTGTATTGCAAATTTAGCTTGAACTAGCAAGTAAAGGTATGCGATTATTTTTATCGGATTTTTACCGCAAACCTTAAGTTGCGCTTGTTGCTGAAAAATTTTGCGCACAGTAAAAATTTGAAGCAACAAAGTTTTCGAACATTTTTATTCTCTAAAAGTGATAATAATTGAGGTTTGTTAAGGCTCAGAGAAACCTCAATTTTTGATTGATGTTCGGCGTCTTTTAAAAAATTTTGGATCAAAAATTAACTATTTTGGGAAAATAACATTTTCCAAAAAAATTCGAGGTGGATATAACTGTAACTCACAGGAGCAAGAATCTATCTTTTCTACAACAAATTGATTGCCAAATTCCACAAAAGTTCAGCAAAATGAAAATAGTTTGTAATCATATGCGGCCGAGCAATCTTTTAAAGAACAGTTCTATTCTGAAAGAGTGCTTCAAAATTACAGTTATTCAAACCTTTTTGAAAAAAGTACCAGGGTTGACCAAAAGTCCTAATCATACAATTTTCATGGAAGACATACAATTTTCATACAATTCCATAGTCGCAAAAAATTGCATGAAAAATCTATGATTTTTTGATTTTTCCTATATTGAAATTGTTTGACAACATTTCACCAAAAACCAAAATTAAAATGAGTTTTTCAAAGTAATTTTATTCTCAAAATTTTTGGGAAGTGTTGGTAATCGAGTTGGTTATAGAACTTAGTTTCCTCAAAACAGAGTCACCAACGGATTGACCGTCTTACATTTACAATTCATTGGACACGACAGGAATGGTCTTAAAGTTGTCGTACACATATGATATATTAAAAAATTGAACTTTTATATTGTTTATCAATAAACAATGGTCATTTTAAAAAATTGAATGTTTAATTAGTCAGGCTTGATCAAGGCATACAAAAACATGCCAATCTTAAGAAATAAATCTTTGAGCATTTACAAAAAATGATTCAGAGAAACGAAAAAAAAACTTTCTTTTGTATGCAGGACAATGTCCAGGACTATTTTGTTTGAAAAATGTTTGTTTGACTGCCATAAAACTTTTTGCAGTTGGAAAAACGAAACGTTTTTGGTGCTCTTTTGAAACTACTTAGAAAATTATCTGCTGTCGCCTTCAAAATTGTGTTAGTCATGCAATTTCTATATATGACAATTATATGATTTCTTTTTTTTTTGACAAAAAGATTTTTTGTTTTCTGCGATACATTGATTTTCATGCCAAAACAAGAAGAAAGTTATTTGAAAACTTGATGACAGCAATTCAGCAAAAAGTAGGAGTTAGTATGCATGACTAGTATTTTTTAAAAATTTTAATTTAGGGAATTGTAAGATTATCAATTTCGGTCTATGGAGGTCAGTTGGGAAATGATAACGTAGTTTTTGGCGGCTTCAATTCGAAAAAAAACTATTTTATCCCAAAATAGTCTTATGCAAGTCAGTATCTGGGGGGAGGGGTTGGTTGTAAAATACTGACTGGCTCAGTTTCTAAGGAGTAACACAATAAAAATTCGTAACGTTTTTTTTCTCTGGAAAAAGTAACCTTTTAAAGTGACCGCATTTCCTATATCGAAGACCTGATCGAAATTGAAAAACTAAATATAGTTCAAACAATATCATGGCGTTCTTTAGAAAATGAAGTCCATTGTTTGTTTCAAATTTGTAATTCAGCTGTATTTACGAATAATTACTCGTTCAATAAGTTGTGATTTCGGCTTTTTCAATGGCAAATAAAAACAACAATAACTATGGTGAGGATAACGGAATGATAATGAGAGGGAAGAAAACGAAAAATTTTGCATATAACAGCGTTTCAGAGTAAACAAAAGAGTTGTGAAAAACTTTATTCTAACTCAAAGAGAAGCTGAAGCATCGGCAAAAATGATTTAGCTCTGAAAATTGAAGGTTTTTATGTTTCGTTAAATAATTATGTTAAATATATTCAAATTTTTAAGCATCCATAATAAACTTTAAAAAGGCAATCAACAACAAAATACGAAATTACAAATATGTTTTTCTTGAAAAAAAAACTTGCAGACTACGAACATTAAAATCGAAAACATTTTTCTTGCATTTTTCTTAAGCAATAGAAACTCATGAGAGGAAAAAATTTAAGATTTTAGTGGTCTTAGAGAAGAAGAATATTTCATTAAAGAGAATTATCATGTAGGACATTGACCCCGATTATGAGTTGACTGAAAGGTTTTTTTTTCTTGAAACTACTCAAACTCTAAACCAATTCAGCTTCAGATGGCATTCCGATTGAAAATGGGAAAAAAACTTTGTATCCAGGTGTTTTTTAGTTTCTCTTTCAACCTTTTGTTTTTCGCGCAAAATCAACTACCGCAAATATTCAACAGACAGGGTTGAATGATATATCATATTAAAACCCTTACAGTTGTGATTTGAAGCACATTTAACCTTTTTTTTCTACTAGTGCCGAGAAAAACTGGTTTTAGTTTTTTGATTGTTCGTCTTTTTTCGAGCGGATATAGCGAGCGAGCAGTCTTATTGTAGATGCTCAAAAGCTTACAATAGCTTATTTTAAAACGTAAGAATTAAGTTTTAGTTGAGTAACGTTTTCTTATTATTATTGGAATCCAGTGTTTTTGATTCGCTCCTTTTATCACAACATGCCAAAAAAACGACATTGTTTCTTTTGAGGTTAGGGTCGGAAAATTTTGTGCTACTTGCACGGTAGTCCCATAGACCGTTTTACTGTTGACGTAGAACAAAATGTTGTTCTAATTTTAGTTTTTGTTATGGAAGAAGATATTTTAAAAAATACATACTTGAAAAAAGTATAAACGTTTTTGTTAAAAAAACGCCTTTTTTCTTCTGAATGTCTCATAACTTAGTATACAGAACTTTAGTTACAAAAACTTTGAAAAGTATCCTGAAGCAAGCTTTCAGAGAAAATGTCTTCGATTTTTTGTACCAAAACTCAGGTCCAACTTTTTTAACACACTGTCTCGTTCGATTGGTTGTCATTTTTGTACTCCAACACATGTACAACAAGACAACCTTTGATATACAGATTATCAAAAAAATTTAATCACCCAAAAAAAACTAAAAATAGAAGACAAAAAACAGATAAAAGTCAAACAAAATTTTTGGTTCAAAGTTTCAGTTATTATATGATAATGGTCCTAAAGGTATTTTCGTCTAATTTAATATATGCTCCAGGATAACCAGATTGCACCGTGCCGCCAACCCGCTGAGAACTGATTGAAACATTTGCAATGATTATCCGTTCCGTTGCTTTCGTCGTCATGTCGACAATAGTTGGTACGTCTCGAACTGAACGTTTCTTTTTCTTCCTTTTTTAAAAAAGTCTTTCAACGCATTCAGCACCCTCAATCAGTAACCAAAGGTGACTTCAGGTTCTGTAGATTGTCCTGCCCCAGCTTGCCCAGCCATGAGTACAAAATCGAAACTAGGGTTTGTTCTGTCTCCAAATGAGCTGCCGTAAACGTTTAGGTAAAATAAATTGATTTTGGGTTGAATCCATGTTTCGCTGTTATTTAACAGATAAAATGAGTTATCCAATGCTCCTACGGCATTGGTGCC